TAAAGCCAAAAAATATTTTAAGGTTATTTTTTTTTCTTTTACATAATAATAGTTTAATGCTACAAGTCTTACTAGTTACCGTATAGCTGGGCAGAGAAGATGTGGATTAACACCTTTCCCAAGGGTATTTGCTCGTAAGTGAATAAAAATAAACCCCACGAGAATTAAAACCCGGCTCTCCAATTAACAATTCCAAGTCCCTATCCATTACACCAACCGCACATCCAAATTTACACATCTATTATTTCCAAGCATTCACCCATCTAGTGATGTTACCGTAATCAAATTGATTAATATCAACTATTCATCTTCATATTGCAATACGCGCACGATATATGCAACTTGATTATGAAATATTGATTTTAATACTGACACAGTTATTTTTAAATAACAAATCCATGAGACTTTTTATTGGATATTCATACTTTTCATAAACAAATCAGGGAAGGCTAAGTATCAGCAGTGGACATGTAAAATCCATATCAAATTTATTGATTTATCAAACTGTAACATCTCCATGTCAATGATTTACAGAGCAATACTTCGCTTAATGATGATTCCTCAATATCTGTCTATATCTCTGAGATCGGGTATTATGATTATTTAAATTATTTGCATTATTCGGACTGTTATCCTCATCTTCATTGCTATATTCACAACGTTTCGGCCTCTATATCTCTGAGATGAGGTATTATGATTACTTGCATTATTTGCATTATTCGGGCTGTTATCCTCATCTTCATTGCTATAAAAAAAACTATTTTCGGTCCCTATATCTCTGAGATGAGGTATTATGATTACTTGCATTATTTACATTATTCGGACTGTTATCCTTATCTTCATTGCCATATTCACAACGTTTCTTGCCTTTATATCCCTGAGATGAGGTATTATGATTACTCGAGAAAAGCTCGAGAAAATTGAAGAGAATTTGTTTTCTTTTCAATTTTGAAAGGAAAAATATAAATACATATACAGTTCCAATTTGTAATTTTCCAAATTATCATCATAATTGTCGTGTATATTATTGTAGCATAGCTACAGGCGATAATGGATATGTCCCCATTCACATAAATACAGTAGTAAAGACTGTATGTTGGTCTGCAGTTGGAGATTCATTGTGGAATTCACTTGACTCACTTCTAGCAGTTGACTAATTCTACGCGCCGCTGGCGAATCTTATATGTGTCGTTTGTATCCTAAGTATTATCGTTCATTACCAACCTTCGTTTGATTATTCTATTCAGTAACCTTCCCTAGGTTACAACATATATACTGGGCTCTCCCGTCGATTTCAACATATGTGGGTCAAGCAACTCATTTCCTTGAAACTGACGACAAGATTACCCGCACAAATCGTTTCATTAAAGTGGTGAAGGCATGTACAGAACCAACATTTTTTGATAGAGCCACAAGGCCTCCAAACAACCCTCCGCGTGTTTTGAATTCAGAGTTGTTCTTTTCCTATACCGATTGCCACCCATGGCTATAGAACCAAGTCTGCCCATAGCTGAGGACAGAAGAAAAGGATTTATACATTTTCTAAGGGTAAGTGAATGCAATGGATTCGACTGGAATTAGAACTCGGTTCTCCAATTCCATAATCTCATGTATATAATCCATTTTAATCACATGGATCTGGGAATTAAAAAATAATTTTCAGAAAAATCAATATAACAAGTGTCAACGTACAAACTTATTGATCCAGTTCATATATAATCTTTTTTATGTAATATAACTTTTCGATTAAGCTTAAATTCATTTCTTTGCAGTTTTGTTAGGACAGTGAAACGATTATCGGAGCCGAAATTTGAATCAGGCGTACCGAGTTCGATTTCTGATCCAGTTTGTTTCTGTTGAAGCTTGGATAAGCATGGAATAATAATAATACAACACAAAATGTACGTAAACAAAATGTATTGAAACAAGGAAAAGGTACACAATATTTACAGTTAGTTTTGGTATATTCTTGGGAAGACTGTTCCTGTAGAATGGGTTGACTAAATCGCAGTCGGGCAGAGTATCTGGATTGGATCTCTTCTTACTTCCTCCCTCATCTTCCCGGTACCAACCCATATTTATATGGTCGGTACTCCACTATGTAAATTAGGTGGATCGTACTACAACAGTTTCGTTAACGGTGCACTATAAAAAACTACTTAGCAAAGTAGACCCAACTTTCTAACCTCGGTAGGGCAATCAGCATTGACTAACACTAAATTAAAAGCCAGATTAAAAATCAGCATAAAACAACACTGAATTAAAAACCAAACTTATGTCGTCGGCTCTGAATTCGAAACCACACACCGACTGCAGTTCATAAGATGCCTTTTAAGGTACGGTTGAGTAAAGGATAGTTGTTCGGATTGAGGAATCGGAGAGCCGAGCTCGAATTACAGTTAAGTTCTTTACATTCATTTACCAACAAAGACTCTTGAGGAAAGATATAAATCAATCTCTTATGAACCCCAGCTATGGGTTAAAGAGCAAGGCAGACTGTGTCGTATAGCTTTAGATGGCTACTAGTGTAGTAAAAGTTTAACAATGAATTCAAAACCTCCAACTATGGGTAAATAGTAGGACAAATAGGGCTCTTCTGCTTTGGGTGACAACCAGTCTAGAAGGACAAATCTGAAATTAAACAAAGAACGTATGTAGCCCTTGAAGGTCCCAAATGATTTGAATCGTGATCGTTAATTTGTTTTGTCTATTCAAATTCTTGACTGATCTTTCATAGACCTCAAATTCTGTGATAAGTGCTGATCAGTATTATGAACATCCTTCGCTGCAGTCTACAAGCGTAGAAATGACTTCCACGAGTAGTATTAAGTGTCAACAGCGAAGTATGTGATTACATTAGAGGCTTGCCGGAAAACACTCAGACGTTGTAAGAGAAGAGACGGTCAAAGAAACTATGAAAACTGGTATACATTTTCAGTCTTCTAACATTCAAATATAGATGCAGAGAATGTGAATTTGTTAACATTGGAATGAACAGCGCATATGCTTTTTAGGGATATATTCCATCTTAACCGATAAATGAAATGGCAATTAAATATTGAAAAGGCAATAAAGCCACTAAGACGCAATGGGTTATTGCGTGTGAAAGAATATGGCGAAAAAAATTATTTTATTATCTTTATATATAAAGTACAGTTTATGTGTTTGTGTGTGTGTGTGTGTGTGCCCAAGCATAAACTTATCCTTTAAAATTTCAACGATAATTCTTCTGCTGCCACTTAATGTAAAGACGATTTGATGTGCGTAGATCCTTATTTACTGTACAATTATTTTTATTTCATGGGTGACAGAAAAGGGGACAATTTATAAGATAAAATTAATATGGGAAAGATGGGAAAATAGAAATTAGAATTAGTTATACATTCAACATTTGAAGAGTTAGAGAAACCTAATAGCTAATTAAGTAAAACCTATATTATGGAATCTATATGAATAATTGCGAAATTGACGCTAAATTTTCCCACGAATTCAGACATTAAAAAGCCACTGATCTACTTTATAGCAATGTACACGTTAGCAGCTCAATAGCTGTATTATATATTATTTACTTCTAGTAGTACTTCTAATTTGCATATTGATTTAAAAAAAAAAGTTTATTTTATTAATTAACTATCCTTCATTACTGTTCTTTTATTCGAGGATTGTTTTGATTTTCATATCAAAAGTAGTTCTGTTAGGAATTTTATTATAGTGCAGGATTGTTTTTTGATTTTCATATCAAAGGGTTAGTTCTGTTTAGTAAATATCGTCTTATATTGTGCAGAAAGATGTTTGAAATTTGCATTTTACTTGGCCTTCAACAAGTTGGCATCTATTTGTAAAACTTTCTTTAACTATAACAAGCCAATTTATGAATGAAATGTTTATTTAAAATTTTTGTTTCAAAGATTTCAAGTAGTGAATATATCTTACTTTGCGAGGCGATGGCGAACGAATGAATCCTGTTAGTAAACAATAAAAGAACAGAAAATTAGAGAATAGAAGATAAGGATCCATATTCAACACACATTTTGAAGACAAAAGTTGACAGGAAAGCAAGTAACGGGAAGTGAGTTCCATAAACGAGAAGTGCGAAAGAAGGAACTGTTAGCATAGAACTTACTGTTTCATCGAACTATTTCAACTGTAAAATGATGAGACTCACTTTCCAATCTTTAAAAATTGGTACCTCGTAAAATCGAGGTACCAAGGAGGGAAGCTTCTCATACAATATTTAGAGAAAAGACACAGGAATGCTATGTTACGGCGATTGGAAAGTGATTAATGTCGAGATACAAGATCAGTAGAGATAACATTGCAGATACTTCCTTGGATTTTATCAAAGAATCTCTAAATACATATTAGAAAGGACTTCTGCTATGTATTTAGAGATTCTTCATAAAATACTTTTTGAGAAATGTTTGAATCCGTCTCTTATTTCGCAATCTACAGGTTAAGAAGTAAGACTTGTAAATGATATTATCTCCTAAAACGCTTACAAACCACAAAAAAGAAAAGTGACCTAAACTGATGCTTATATTTCCATGATATTACACAAAAGGAGTGATAATTACATTGTTTGCAGCAAGGTTAGCGGAGAGCGATTTGATCAGGTCTTGTCCCTCTGCTTACAATATTCAATATTCTCACATTCTTTGGGACTATCAAATCCAAGTTATCTGTAGAATTGTAGATATTTATTTAATGCTGTTTTCGCTGATGTACACCATTGCAGTTTCCTGATAGAGACAGCTTTGTTTCTGGGGTTGACCCTGAGAATCGTGGTTTTTCAAAGAATGATCTTTGTGTGTCGTGATTATACTAATTGTAGAATTTCTCTGAAACTTGCATTGTTTTTGTCAGGATCGACGTCGCATTAACTTCGGTGATATCATGTTGAAACTCCGGCTGCTGTAATGCACGTAACAATTATCACATGTCTTTAGAAATTCAGTTTCTCACTTCTGTCATTCTTTCTCTAATTGTTTAATAATTACAACATGTTCTTTATTCTATGTCTAATTTTATTGCAAAAGTTCGTCTTTCTCTCTTTTCTTCTCAAATATCCTCGTTCGTTTTCCTTATCTTGTGACAGTGAGCTCATCAACTGAATAATCCAGTTATAACTGATAATCACAAAGGATCTTCGTATTTTTCGTCGGATAATCATAGGTGTCATTTGTTTTTCACTATCTGCAGATCTTTGCCTGATTTCTGATCTTAAGCTCCGCTGATTGTTGTCAGGGTTCTTCTCTCGACCCTGCGCTCACACCCCGGCCCATATTTTTTTAAAACTTTCTCCTTCCTAACGAAAGCTTAGGGAACATACTAATAGCACGTTTTTTTTTTCTTTCTCGGTGACGATTAAGTAATGTATTCTATCGGCTGACAAACCACAGGTGAATTCTATTCTCTCCGCTATCTGAAATTTATCTACCAACGAAATCCAATTTGCTGACCCTTAATAATTCTGACACTTATTGAAAAGATACATTCTGGGATTTCAACATAAGTAATTCCTAGAATTATGTCTATATGCCAGAAGATGTATTAATTTTAATTCAAAAATATTTTTTAAGTTTCGAATGTTTCGGTTTGATAATAGTACTGTCAGAGTGATTGGTCTTACAAAGACTTAACATAACATTGGAAACTCAAGGTTGGCCAATGTGTGTATTTTCTTATTATTACCGTTAGTTTTCCTTTATATAACTTTAAAATATCTACTTTTTTTTTTGGTTGTGCCAATGCTTAAACACCATTATAGAAAGTTTGGTTTGGTTTATTTTTTTATATTTTACGGTATATCAACCACAATAGGTTATTTAATGTCGACAAAATTTTAGGGTAGGTTTGTATTAATACAATATATGTTCTTTGTAACAAATCAGTTTGTAGATCAGGCTTTATTGACATGTTTTTGTAAATATATTTTTTTGTCGAGATTCAAATGTATTGCTGGTAATAATTTTTGTTTTCAAAAATATATTGTTGGTAATAATTTAAAACCAATGTATTGCTGGTATATTAACTGTAAAAACCTATTTTTACACTTTCATAGAATTTTGAGTCGAATTTGTAGGTTAACTATTTCCCCATAGCTAGTACCCTAACAGGTACTATCACCCCATTAGAAAAATTAATGACTTTTATTTAATACGATTTAAACCTGGAAAATCTTATTGATTCCCCTTTATATATATTCCCCTCTTATATAATTCAAGAAAGCGTAGTGTTTTCTGCTCTGTTATATCGGTTATTTAGACGAGCAATTACTAAGTAAATCCGGCTTGAATTTTTAAAATTCTTTACTGTGAACCTTGTTATTAGCAAATTAAATTCGATATTGTCTTAATCCAATTTATATCTAGCGTCAACTCCCAATTCTTGGTTGGCCTTAATAGCGGAGTTGATCACTTGCTTAACTTTATATGTATTCTCTGAACAATAGGTTCAATGACATCAACACCAATAAATGTCAGAAAAAAACAATGAAAGTGTATGATAATGCCACTGTTTAAAGAATAGGGTCATTCCAGTATAGAGAGATTTGATGAGATAGTTCAGGATGAATTCTAAGGAGAATTTCCCAGAGGTAGAATGTCATTAAATATATTGATATGTGTCTCACGCAGTTTTATCAAAAAGCATTTGTAATTGCATTAAATTAAAGAGCCCTACATTGAAACCACATATTTTCAAAAGGTCTACATCAAAAATCAGTCAGTCGTTATCATTAAACAATTGAAGATCGTATTTTAAAAAAACTCCCTAACTCTGGCAGTTGAACTTTTATAACATCGTTTTCTCTTCTTCAGGTTCCATCCGACCAGGATCTATTTAAGTCTATTTTATCTTTTTTTTATAAACATCCCGTATTGATTATATTATTAATCTGTGATTATATTATTAAACTGTGATTATATTATTAACCTAGAACCTAATAAGGATGTCATATATGGTATCTAACCGTTTCAGACATTTCAGTTACATATAACTGGATTCTCAGATCAATAACCGAATGAAGGTTTGAAGATAACGTTCTTTCGTGAGATTTCATAGACTGGCGCTATACAATCACAAAGGACTTTACCATATAACATAACCTATATCACTTGAAGACTTTTAACACCAGTAACATATCTCAAATCGGTAGCACATGTAACTAGGGGGGAAATAATGACATAAGATGTCGACTTTCGTCCCTAATATAAAGAAAAAAAGAAGACGCCCATAAATATTAGAAAAGATCTATAACAGTTACCGGACTTGAGGAGTCTATTTTCTTGAAAAACTCTTTGAAGAAATATGGTTTATAAATTTTAGCCGACAGTAAAAAGAATTGTTTGGTTAATGAATGCCAAATGTTTCCTTATGGAAACCGATAAGCTCAGTATTCTCCTGACTGATAATCCATTAATGTCCATGTTTTAAAAATGAAATCATTAGCATTAATGGATTAAGTGCCTTTCTTACTATCGATTACATTACACCCTTTTCTGTTTCTAAGTTTTGATTCTCCTGCTAAAAGAAAACGAAATATTTCTACAGAAAGTTCTTCATTCAAATATGACGTCTAAGAAATACGTCCAAAATAAACGTGGATTAACCAAGGCAAACTGGAAATTATTCGATTCGAAATTACATTTGAATAGTTTGTGTGACACTATTTAGCGGTTGCGTGAAAATTAAAAGAAAAAAAATACGAGAAAGGCTGAAAGAAGAAGCGAAAATCTATCAAAAAAGACATACTGAGCGGTGTTATTTTTTTTAACAAAGAAAAGTGTTAAAGATTTTATTTTCATTAAAAAAAAAAAAAAAATTTTTTTTTTTCGCAGAAATAGGAAATTCGTAAGATCTCGGATCTGTCTGAATTAATTTATGCTATGGCGCGGCGAATAAAAGATAGCAATCTGCCCATGGCAATAATGAAAATTTCAAATTGGTCAAGTGGCCTACAAAACAGAATGCTGGAAGATAATCGTAATCAGGTCAAGCACTGACCGAGAATGGCATCAGCTGAAGACCCCCCATAAAAAAAAGAAAAAAAAAAAGGGAAAGAATAAACCATTAACTATCTTTCGGAGATATCATTTGGTTTTGAAAAAAGACACCTGTTTTATTGTCAGACCTGGCATGATAAAAAGTTTGTTACCGGGACAGATAATTGGCGACAGGGTGCGAATACGTCCAGTTGACCACCCATTTGTTTGGCGAAAATCTCGTTGATAAATTCCAGATGACATTCGGTTAAGATAGAGATTAAGGACCACACCACGAGTCGTAGGGGTCTGGTGAAAAAGAAAGAAAAAAAAAAAAAAGGAAGATATTTTTTTTCCTTTGAGCGATAATTTTAAACTAAGGCCTGACTAGCCACACCCACGCTGCTGAGCGTTCATTGGCTGAATGGTGGCGTGAGCGATGGGCGAAGGTAAACATATGAGAAGGAGGGTAGGCCTGTTGACGCCTCTGAGGGGATTGGTGTGAGATACCACTATGAGAAAGAAGGGAAACCTGTTGACGCCCTCTGAGGGGATTGGTGTGAGATACCAATATGAGAAAGGAAGAATTTGGGAGGACGATTCCCTTAAGAACCCCTCTAAAGCAGAAATTAATGGACTTCCAAAATGGAAATAAATTTTCCTGTCCGAAAACAAAGAAAATCCTTATTGTGGATTTAGAATTATCGAGGAACCCCAAACCGACAGGCCCACCCTGGTTTTGGTCGGTGTCCATATAAACGGAGTAGACAGTGGCAGTTAGGCAGAGTTCGGAAGAGTTCGGCAGAGAGGAGAGACGCAGACGCAGACAGAGTTGAGCTGTGAGCTCTGAGACCAGCCTCGCAGGAAGCTGACTGAAGATCCACGCATTCCGACTTCAACTTCTAACCAAAAACAATTTATTTTTGAAGAACGACTTAGACTCACACCACCAAAACAAGTTTTACGAATATCGCCTGAAGATACAGAAAAAAAAACAGTTTCTTAAAAAAAAACAACTTAAGATGTTAAGACTCGCCTAACAAACACAAAGTGTCACGAATCCATATTAGCGGTTTGGGAGAAAGACGCAGTCCTGTATTCACAAACCAGATATAAAATATTTTTATTTTTTTTAACACATTTGAACTTTTCGAGTTGTTACTTTATTTTCTTTTACATATACTTGTGCGATGTCACCTTTGTTCGAATTCGGCTTGCATTACGGCCCGGCGACTGATTGATTTCGTCTACCTAAGATCAAATCACAACGTGGGTAGGTTAGACTAGAAATCAAAGTAGTTACTTCGGTAACCAGACGTTGGAGGCGAGCTGGCAACGACAAAGCTGATACCGAATCTAACCAGATTCCCATCCGAATCAGCCAAGGGTTAGAACGTCACATTTGGCGCCGCGACCAATACCAAGTCACATTGGTCGTCATAGGATAGCACGGGGGAAGAGAGAGGCCGGGGTCACGTCACACTTGCCACCGACACAGTAACGTATATTAATAGGAATCTTGCGTTGACCATCCTGCAAGACAACAGGACTACCTACCTAAGATATAATTCCTCATGAAAACTTATTATAGTCTTAACATTTTCTCTATTACACTGCTACAATTTACGATCATGCAATTAATCCTATCATTTTCACCACCTTATCTTCCCGTCATTGAACATCTGAAAAATTACATATTGCCGTAGCATGGCTTTCATTAAAATCTCAGACTACCAAGGTTGCACCTTGATATTCTTTTTTCTCTATGTGTAGCCTGTCTCACATCTTTTTCTAATTTCTCTTTTTTTCAGAAATTTCTCTATTTTCATTCTCTCATTATCTACGTATTACAATTTCTTTCTGCTCCATATTTTCACCTTTCCAGACACTCTTCTGTTCTCCATCTCTTTGTTTGTCTCTCTTCTTTATTTTTCTTTTTCCCTCTTGAGGTGGAAGAGAGCCATCAAATAAAGCTGTCTTTTACCACACCTCCAAAAGGTGAGATGTGTACAATTCTGCCTTTAATATTCTATCTGCCCACACTGCCAGAAGCGAAAGGTTTATTATGTTGTGATGGGGTCGTTCTTTCAATTCCTATTCTTCGTTTCGCGCCTTTCTAATGCTTATTGTATGATTTCCGCGCATTTAAATGGGCTTTTTTGCTTTTCCTCGGGTGACCCTTCGAAGATTAAATAATTCTTTGATGGTTTAACTGATATTATTTCTGCTTCGAGATTTCAGTTGTGCCTAACTCTCTTTCTTGATATAGGAATGGTTTCCCTTCTATGCTTTACTTATTAAATTTAATAGATTATGGGCATTTTGAATCTCAGGCTAATCAAGATGGAAGCTTTTGGGGAGTTTTTCTTACTCTACGCAGTACACCAATACATAATTCCCCGGGATCGTTCGTGAATCTGTTCTTCATTGAATATCCTCTTATTTTTACTGCGTATTTTCCCAGGCTTTTCTTTTAAAATTTCCCTCTTAAGATAATTAGAACATCCTCTTATTACCCATTTCTATTTTCACTTCACCAACTTTATTAACCGCCGACAGCCGAACGCTTAGTTGCTTTTTCTGTGGAAAATGAATCGCTTAACTGTGTAGCTTCGGAAATATCTTTTCAAAGAGAACGATTATTTGAATCTGCTGTAACATGTGAATCAAGCAGATGCGGAAGTTTAAATATCTGGGAAGCGTCTTGACAGAGGACGGTAAGTGCGACACTGAGATCCGTAGACGTATTGGGATGGCCAAGGACACATTCCAAAAGCTGGGCAGAGTATTGCGAAACAGGAGGATTTCTTTGGTAACGAAGAAAAAATACTGTGCTGTTACGTGACATCTGTCCTTCTTTACGGCAGCGAATGTTAGACGATTTCCTCATAGATGAAGAAGAGACTCGAGGCGACGGAGATGTGGTTCTACAGAAGGATGCTAAGGATACCACAGATCGAGCGTGTAAGCAACGATGAGGTCTTAGAGAGATTGCAAACAAGGAGAAATCTTATACTTAACATCAGAAAGAGGCATCTGAAGTTTCTGGGACACATTATGAGGAAGGAGCACCTGGAGAAACTGATACTCATGGGTCGAATAGAGGGATAGACAGACAAGGGAAAGCACCGTGTTACCTACCTGGCGAGCCTGAGCAGGTGAAAGGCAGAACGTGGTCTGGGGGAGGAAGCAGAGGGAAGGAACTTGTTTAGAGCTGCAAGAAATAGAGGGTGGTGGAGAGCCATGATCGCCTACGCCCTGAAAGGACATGACACATAAAAAGAGTATACAGGGTTATTCAGAAAGAAAGAGCAGATTTCACAAAATTAATAAAAGAAAAACAGATAGAATCACATTCAACACATTACTGAATAGGAAAGTATTCAAATTTTACTATTTTGTGGTTACACTTCGCAAATTGCAGTTCACAAAACAACTTTTCTTGTGGCGTGGCCATTTTATCGATTGACACAAAATATAGCAATTTAAATTTATACAAATTACTAGAAAAACAACAAAGAGAAGATATAAAATATACATCTTAAATTATATTATATATATATAATTATATATTATATAATTATAATATTATATATTATATAATAATATTATATATATAATAATATAATATATATATTATATATATTATATATATATATATAATATATATATATATATATAATATATATATATATATATTATATATATATATATATATATATATAATAATATTATATATATATATAAATATAATATATATATAATATTATTTATTATATAATTATAATTATATATTAATCTTAAATATAAGATTGAAAAACATTTTCGTTTATTTTAATAACTTTAAAACTTGCTGTCTAGTCACGTATTGAATGTGTTTCTGTCTCTTAGCATTTGTTTTATTGAATTTTCAAAATCTTCTCCTGCTTTTTTTAATAACCCTGTATACGGTCAGCTAATTTATTTTAATCTTTTTAACCCAATAAAGGCGATAATGCTGCTTAGACGCAACGGGTTACCGACAGTAAAATATTAGTGCGGATGAAGGACAATATAAAAAGAATCTGAAAGACAGAAGATGGCGAATGATGTTGCATATAATGTTTTGAAAATCGTAGTTGACAGCGAAGCAAGAAACCAGAAGTAAGTTCCACTAGCGAAAAGTGTGAGAAAAGAATCTATTAGAATAGAACTGACTGCTACATCTAGCCATTTCAGCAGTAAAAGATCAGACCTTGTCATCGATCTCGTACTACGCTTAAATTCATGATGTCGGGCTACCAAAGAGGAACGCTTAGTTGAACAGTTAGCATGAAAATATTTATAGAAAAGACAGAGAGAAGCTACGTCACGGCGGTGGAGATGTGAAGGAAGTCGAGTTGACAGGTCAGGACCGATAACTTTACAGATTCTTCTATGGATTTTGTCAAGAATTTTTGAGTTATATCGCAGGAGCACCAATCCAGATGTGATAGCAATATTTAATGCAGGGGCGGATCAGTTCGAACAGACATATCCTCGATCTGTTCGGCATCGTTAGGTTCTACCTTTGCCAGACTGAATATCCGACTAGCCAACTCTGACAAGATCTCATTCTCACTCTACTTCATCTCCACCAGGGAATTTGCGTCCATCTCACGAGTGTGGCGACAGTGTCGTCGGCAGCAGCGACGTGGTCGCTGATATCCCTCAAATTGCACGCGAATCTAACTGACCCTGACTTCCCGGTGAGAGGAAAAGAGACGTACGGAGTTGAACGAGCGACGGCGCCCGTCTCCTATGCGGGCAAAATATTTCATATAACTGTCAGAGGAGACTACTTTTCGCTAGCCAGGCATTCCCGGTAGAGAGCTAGCAGCACGGCGCAGCACGGCGCAGCACGGCGCAGCACGGCGTGGCTCGCTGTTCATGGGACCGTGGTGCAGCTTCTGCAACCAAATACCCGCTCGTAAAGGAGGAACGAATGAACGTAAAACCCCGATGAAACGTGGTACCCGCGATACATCTCACCTACCAAACGCCAAACCTCAAGAAGTGAGGACGGGTGACGCGATGCAATTTCGAAACTGGAAACTTACATTCTCGTTAGATCTATCGTCACGGGACGGTAGTGGCCCTTCAGCTGATTCAACTATGGAAACATTGTCACTACTCTTACTTATGTTAGGCATTTCTCTTCAAGTAACATTCCTTTATTCTTCCTAGTATAACCTTATCCACTCCGACGTCACACATTCGATATAATCATAAGCCGATTTAGTTTCTCATTCATCATTTTAAATTGAATACATGGTCCGAGATATAAAGATGCAAATTCGTCGAGTGTGAATAAACAAATGTTTTCGATAGCAAATCTTATTATACACAGAAACTCTATACTACTTATAATAAAATAGAAACGATTGTTAAAATGCTTACATTAATTAAAACAATGCCTTATTAGCCGTGACTTAAATAATTTCTAGAGTTTATTTCAATGGAGGGTTTTAAACAGTCATGAGAAAATTGCGGCCCCCGGTACACATGCGACCCGTTTGGCTTTAGGAAAATAATATTTCTAAAAAGTTGGGTTGTTTCGTTTTGTTCGCACTTATTCACTCACATATTCTCTCATACGTAACTACATCCATAAACAATGATAAGTGCAGTGTTTCTTGAATTTTTAAACTTTCGCCGAAGATAACCTTTTCATCCGTTTAAGCCATTGGCGATTTTCACTACGGAAGATCAGACGTGTAAATATAGTTTTCTTTAGAAAAATTGTTCATAATATTTATTTTTCTTTCTCTGTGGTAGAAATATATTTTTAATTTAACAGTATTTTTTTTGCTGGCGATGGGGGGCTTTTCAAGTGAATAAATTAGAAATTATAATTCACATTGCTATCTATATTGATATTATATCAAGATCTCAATTTTTTAATTATAGAAAAATCTTTTCTCCAATGAAAGAATCAACTGTTCCTCGCTTCTCAGACGATTACGAGTATGTTCTTGTGTAGTGGCTGACGCATATTTTCAACGAAAGATTGCCTTGAATCTTTTAAGTAGCGCTACCAGCCTTATGATAAGCCTTCTCTTATGCGGAAAATTCTCTCCATGGCCGGTTTAGAAGATAATTTGGACAATGATGAGCAGGTCAGGAAATTCTCGGTTAAGAATACCTACTTGAAAGAAAATCTTGTTTAAGATCGAATCCTTCACGACATATATACTTTGACTCATGTGGATTTCGTGTTAGAACTGTCTTCATAGACGGAATACTCACAGAACTTAAGCAAGAAAAGCAGTGACTCTCTGTCAAGGAAATTTATTTTCGTAATTATCTGAAAATAACTATTCGATAGAGAAACATGAAGTTAATCGAACCGACTTAACAGGAGAAGAAGATTAAACAAATAAAGTAATTAAAATGAATTAACGTAGACCCTTTTAAAACAGTTCCCATTAGCAGATTAAGTTCCTTTCTTTTACTTTTGAATAATTCGTGTGATCATTGTGTATCTATTATAATGAGGTGGTTTCGAAAATAACATCCGATTTATTTCATAACTATTGAATTATTGAACTTACAGCCATATCACATTGAAACACCGATTCTTATATGATCAGCGAAGTTAAACAATATCAAGACTGGTTCGTAACTAGATGAGTGACTGTTACGGAACCCCATACACTGTAAACTTGGATGTGCGAGTGCTCTAATGGATAACGGCTCCGAATTGGAATTCCAATTCCACTCAGGTTCATTATATTCATTTACAGACAGATACCTCCTAGAAATGGTATAAATTTACTTCTTCACCCCCTACCTATGGGTTAAATAGTAAAACTTGTATCAGTAAAGCAGTATTATTTCCAAAATCTCTTAAAATACGAAAATAGTTTCTGGCTTTAGATAACCCGAAAAACGTTGATAAATTATATGAAAAAAAAATCAATCAGTATTGAATTAATGTTTTTAAACAGCGTTGTTTAAATCAGTCAAAATTGGAACCTTGGAGATCTATACTTTTATTTCATCTACTGAGAAGTTTATTTATGCCTTTGCGATAAAGCTCTAAAGGTTTGAACGCCGGGAAATCTTTGAATGCAATGTCTTTGACACAGAATGTTCTTTGGCTGTAAAAATTGATACTTGAAAAAATGAATATGTATATAAATAAAAAGAAAGAACAGTAAGATATAAAATCCGGTGTTCTTATAGATATTTTTATTTTTACAAAATAGTGCTCAATGTAAATTTACAGAGCATTACTATTATAAATTAACTGATTTAATCCGTGGATGATTGATCCAGAGAATATGGTAGATATGGCAAAGTCTCGTATGCGAAGTCGATGTGGAGAATTGTCCTGAAGCAGATTTGAGTGTGGTCGATTAATCAGTGCCATTCGTATTTCCCACAGCTGCTGGCAGTAATCTTCAGCAGTGATGCTCTGTTATGATTCCAAAGATCCCTAATGGATCAAGCCGATGGCAGATCATTAGACAGACATCATAATCTCCTGTTGCTACAATTTCGCTTTTGGTTTCTTAATTTTTATGATTACCATGCATGATCCATTTCTGTTTGCAACTCATTTCTCTGACACTTTGACGTCGGTTTTGTTTGACTAGTATTTCCAGATGTTTATTGTTAATTGCAGATGGGCGCCATCTTGATTCTCCAGACTCGTATCCACACTGAGGAATTTCTCAAACCAACTCAGTACTGTCCCACTACAAATGGATCTTTAACCCATGTTCTGTTAGAAGTAGTTTGAGATGGATTATGACCAAGCTTGAACACATACAAAAAAGTAAAAGCATCTCTCCTTTCTTCATGTTCAAGATGATGTGTATATAATATTTTAAGTTAAATTCTGAATTAGATTGATATAAAATTAACAAAGAAGTTACGGTAATTATTAATAATTTAATTTAATTTTGTGCAACTATTCCCTGCTGACGGCAATGTATCTTTGAATATATTCAAAAAGCTGTCAAAATACAAGGACCTTGAAAGAGAAATCTCGAAAATGTGGCATATGGGAACATCAACAATCCCTGTTGGAGCCCTAGGACTGGTCGGAAAAGATTGCAGTAGACTAATTGAAAGGATCCCTGGAAGTCCATGCCTCAAGAAGATACAAAAAATTTTCGGACAAGTACAGCCCACACTTTACGAAGGGCTTTATCTATGTAATTTTTTTTTTTTTTTTTTTTTTTGTCAGGGGAAAGTGTCATGATGCCATTTCTAACCTTAGGTCCCTGGGCGGGACCCGGAAAGAAATGTGTAAACACCAGAAATCAAAGAAAATAATAATAATAATAATAATAATAATAATAATAATAGAACACAATTAAAAGATTTATTCAAAAACCGGACATTATTTACCGAAAACTTAACATACAAGACTTACAAATATATAAAAATAAAATATATGAAATATTTACCGTATAATGTTATATCGAAGATTATACATTTTCAGGGGTGGGGGGTGTTTTATAATTCTCATTTCTTGGTAAGTATTTTCCATTGCTCCTGCTTCCCTAATTTTGTTGCATATTATGAGAAAATCCCTTGGCCTATTCTATTGAGAACATAAAATGAATGAGTTTGTAAGGAAAAGGGTTGATTTTTTTTTAGGCTACCAGGAACCTCTTCTTAGTATCAAACGGAGAAAAATTCTGTGGTTTGGACTCATTACATGACATGACAGCCTGTGCAAAGCACCATTGAAGGTGAACGTAGGAGAGGACGCCAACGTAAAAACTGGTTGAACAATGTCAAACAATGGTCAGGCATGAATATACTAGAGTGGCTGCCGTTGATAAACCGTTGTGGAGGAGATTTAGTGTGGCTTCTGCATTCGGATCCCCCCCTACAATTACAAAAGTGATGGTGATGATGATGATAATGAAGATGATTATGATATGCATTATAATACATAGTATTTAATGTGTCTACTTTTAATCGTCGAGTTGGACACCACTTTGTCTCGTTTAAGCGCGTTACTAGATTGGCATTTAGGTCCCACCCAATTAATTTTGAAATAGCAAAAAGTTAGCCGCCACTTATTCTCAAAGAGTTTCTTTTTCGCATTTCCCACCTGTGAAAGACGCTTCTGTTTAGTTGCTTACCTGATAACGATTATCTTAAAAAAATTAAATGCAACGTCAATCGCCATCTTCTGTCTTCTTGAAACCCATTCATCTTTTATTCTTTCCTCAATCATTCCTATACCCAGTCTTTTCTCTAACTTTCACTCGCTGTAACCCCCTGCACACTAGTGGCATTTCCGCTTGCTTGGAGCGAAATGATTAAAAAATGCAATAGAAATGTATCTTTCAAGAACAAGTAGATGAGAAAAAGAAACAGTAGTTGATAAAAATATTTACAATGACAACAAAATATTACATGCTTTCAATGTTAATGTCTATGTATTTTAATATATCTTGTTCTTGGTCACCGTTTAATCTCGTCTATATCAAGAATGTGTGAAAATGAAAGAAAAAATAGTTTTTCCTTATCATTTGTAGTTTTGCTACTAAATTACATTGAAGAATCAATAAGTACGCTGCCTTAAGCATCTACAATTTGAACTTTGATCTGAAATTTTTACTGTATAATGTTTAAGTTACGCACTTAAAACAGAGAACTGTTAGACTAAGTGAATTAACAAGAAGGGAATTATACTGATAAATAAATATTGTTTCTTCACGAGTTCCATTTGATTTAAAATATTGTCAAGATGCTTGAGAAAATGCTAGCCAGTGGCCGAGATACCCGGGGTGTATGGTGGATGTGGCAAAGTCTTTATACCAAATCGGTGAGCTTCTGTGGTTTCATCATGGCAACATTCATTGTCCTGCAGTGGCGCTCGTATTTTGATTGACTGAATGTGCATTTCATCCCCTTGCTGTAACAATCCAGAATGCCATAGTGGATCCCAACAATGGCAGATCACTAAATAGTCACCATAATCTTCTTTTTTTTTTTTTTTAAGCATTACGCCCCAAGCAAGGCGTGAAGCCACTAGGATGCAGGGGGTTGCGGAAGGTTTGGAGCGAGAGCAGATAGGAGTGATAGAAGAAAGGAAGAAGAGAAGAATAGTGGGTAGATCAAGGTAATTGGAGATGTCGATTGACATTACATTTGAATAGTTGGAGATTATAGCTTTCAGGGAAACAGTAATTGGGGAGGGTGTTCCACTGGCGAGA